AATAAAACTCTGTACCTTTATTACCAATATTTTCCCTTCTGTCCTTTCCTGAACATTCAAGATTTTTTTTTTTACTTTTTTTTATATGGGATAGGCGGCAGACGAGCAGACGGATCACCTGATGGTAAGTGATTACCGTCGCCCATGGACACCTGCAACACCATAGGGGCCACAAGCGCGCTGCCGGCCTTTGATGGACGAATATGATCATAGGGAGGGAAGGGTTGAGGGGTAGAGGGAAGGGAATAGGAAGGGTTTGGGCCTCCGGTACCCTCACTCACACGACGAAACACAATACAAGCATTGCTTCACGTCGGTTTTCTGTGAGGCCGTGGTATCACTCCGGTCGAGCCGTCCCATTCATGCCGAAGCGTGGCTCTCCCACAGTTGAACTCGTAGGCAGAGTTCTGCACAATACTCTAATTAATAAAAAATAATAATAATTCAAGTACTTCGTTTGAAATGCGAAACCCTAAAACGAAAGCCATTTTAACAATGTTTTAATACTATTAGTGTCAAATCTAAGCCAAAAATATAAATGGATGCCTGTCAAAACTGCTTTTACATAAGTCCAAAAATTTTATCTGGCTTAATCAGACAACTTATGAAGAACTTTCTTAATTAATAATCTAACAGTAAAAATTTTACTTGGTAAATTAGTTCCCAACAAGGCTTAAAGACTTCCTAAACACACTTACTAAAATATTTGAGAAAGTTCTTATTAATTAATTCTATTAAGCAAATATAAGGTAACATCATATCACCTACACATTATTATGATCTGGAGGAACCCTCGTTCCTTGCTACGATACCGATAAAAATTTATTTTCTACATTAATCCGGTCAAGAATTGAACCGGAAGCCTTAGAAGTGGCAAAACTATAAATCGGTGAACCATTCAACCTCGGTTAGTCTTTAAAAAGGAGAACTAAAAATATTAAACAATTGCATTATGAAAAGTTGATAACGTCCTCGTTGTTTTTATGTAGCACACGTCATTAGGTGCAAAAACAGATCATCTTCTTAACAGACATGAATTACGCTAACATTAGCCTCTAGAAACCTCTTAAAGAACTCCCTAATTGAATCAACCTACCCAAAATTACCCTGTAATTCATAATAGGCGAGTAAACGCTTCTAAATATATTCATAATCATTGTAAACAACTCAATTCAGCGACCCATTTTAATGAACCAACTTATGTAAATCGATCACTTAGGATGCTTACGTGCAAGGAATGTTTTAAAGAATTTGTCAAAAGTTTTGCGGTTGACTATTATAATTCAAAAATACAAACTAAAAATTGAAATTTATTTGACTCTCACAATATTCGTAAATGATTAAAAATGATAAAAAAATAACAATACTAAATTTGATTCGCTTACATCCCTAGGGAGGCCTGAGCCTAGCAATGGGGACATGGGGACATAGGTTGGTGATGATGTGATGAAGCGAATGTGCATCACCTAGTCATACCCTTGAGGAGCAAAGCTTTAAATATATAAATTGTATATTATTATTCAATAATAAATAAAAAGAAAACAAATCTTTTTTGAACTGGACTTAGATGGCGCTATTAGCGTGTATACATTTTTTTATACACTACTAACTTTTCATTAATTTAATGCTAAATTGTCAAATAATTAGGTCAAATATTTTCCATTGATACCGGATTATGTATTTACGTATTTTACAAATTTATTTTTTCTTTTATTTGACTTAGGAACCCCCTAAATACGGCCCTGATGTTAAACTAAACAAAATTAATTTACAGTTTTTTATTTTGCTATTTACAAACTGTCTAAATATTTCACTGATAAGTATGTTTCGTTATTCAACATAGATAATCTGTTTGTTTCAGGTATTACAGCAGCGTTCCAGTAAATAAACCTCGAAAGCTTTCTCTATAACATGTAAGTTTTAACCATCTAGATCATAATTTATTAAAATATATAATCTTAAGCTAAGAATATCAGAAGACGAATCTTAAGGTTCAACTAACCTTTTTTTAGACATAAAACATAAGAAAAGCTGATTACCGCTTCAACAAATAATTCTATATTGTGGTGAAAAATAGTTTTTGTAACAATAAACTCTACTGCTTAATATTTTAATATTTCGTTAGGCTTTTTATCTTGGGCGTTTATGTGTCGAACTTTACATAATTCATGTGTCAGGTTTGAAATAAAATTTCGATTCACTGTACAACCCATCATCATCATTAGCAATGGTACAACGCCCACTGTTGAGCATAAACCTCACTCACATAGATCTCCACGCCGATCAGACTTAACTATGTATACTTTAATAAGGACGAACGAATGATAAAAAATTACTCTTATGTTTATGAATTTGACAGCAACCCAAACTTTAATACTAAAAAATATTTATTAGACATTTTCCCACAATTAGAAAATTTTATAAATAGATTTATATAGAACTTGAAAATCGGGATACCAATCCAAAAACTGAAAAGGAAAACAATTTAGAAACGATCGTCTTTTACAATGTAAGCAGCAAGTAAATTCGTGCAAATATGCTTCATTTAATAAACTTACAAAACTTTACTTAGAGAAGCCACCCATATAAAAACGAAACATAATATATACTACTATACAGGTTTACCTAGATGAAATCTGTAATACAGATAATTCGACGACTGGATAAACATAAATGATTTTTCCGACTGATTCTCTAGGGATAAAATTATTATCAAGTCATCTCGTAAGTTACGCGAGCAAAGTCACTGGCGATTAAATTTTTCTAGAAATATTAATATATAAGTGATAAAGGAATAAGAACATTTCAAAGTAATTCTTAGATTTTATCATTCACAACGCTATAATATTATTGCATTCACAACGCTATAATAAAAAAAAAACGAAGGAAACGAACTAAGCGAATACTAGGCATTTCGGAATTGTATTGACCACTTGAATAAGAGTAATTAAAAGTTTGCCCTCGGATCATCTCTAATTCACAGGTCTAATTTATTTTTTAATTGAATGTAAAAACCGCTTCATAGTATAGCTGTAATGTAATTGATAACTACAATACTGGTGGTTCCAATTCTGTTTTACCGTAAAATCTACATTCATGATGCTTAGTAATAACTATGGGTGGAGTAAAGTACGAGTATCTAAGTAAGCCTGAAATTATCCTTAACCCGATATCCGTTAAAACTAAAATATCTGCAATTATCCGCTATGAATAAAATTTACTATCAGACTTTTATTTTCAATCATCAATCCGTAAAAGCATTATCCAAAGGTATTTCACCTCGGTGTCAGTTTCACTGTAATAAAATCGATGGATGAATTTGCATGGGACAAAGCACTTTCTACTTTAATATAGCCGTGTAGAAATAGGTTTTTTAAATCAAACTTTGTTTGAAAGGCTTAGGAAAGTCTACATACTTTATTAAATATTATTTCCTGGATAAGTGGTAAATAAATAGATATTCGTACTCTTATTTGATCAAAAGTGTAAGTTTGTGTTTCACATATTAAATTTCATTTTTATTTTTAAATTCTAACATCATAGAATATAATGCTTGTGTCTTAAAGCCTATGTAAGTGCTTCCTGAGTGTAATAAAAAAATACACCAGCCCCATTGTACTTTGAGATGGGACTCGAACCCACGACACGACCTTTCGCAATCCCAGCGAGATGTGGGACTTTTCTCCTAGTCTAAATAATTACACATAATCTTGTCACTCACAATTCGCCATCGCATTATTAACAGAGTAGTTTCTGTATTCAGTGGACCTTGTCTTTACGATGTAAATGGTGCTCTCAACAATCTTCTACAGTGGTTTAATAATAATAATTTAAAGTTCAATTCAAATAAAACGAAATGTATAAAGTTTGCATTACCTAATGTGAGACATGTTAGTACACTTATAAATGTAAATAGTGAAAAAATTGTTTTGGTAAAATCGACAAAGGTCCCTTAGTATTACCCTAGATTCCCTACTGCAATGGGATCCTCATATTGATAACTTGTGAAGTAGACGGAGTTCTGCAGCTTTTGCTGATAAGAATATTAGACACTTGACAAATGTTGAAACGCAAAGATTGGTATATTTTAGTTATTGTCGTGATTTATGTTAATGTCATTACTTATGATAAAGAGCTGGTAAGTTTCTTTCGCTTGTTCTTCTTGTCAGCTAAAAGACGTCCTGAACAAGTAGTAGGGGAAAAAAAATTTGGCCGTTTCAAAAGTGCATGAAAAAAGCTTACTTGAATAAAAATAGTTTCATTTCATTACATCACAGTAAAAATAATTGCAGGCTGTACTTATTCCAAAATCAGTGAATTCAGTAAATTATATATTAAAGAGTTATCGATGGTCTTCTCGTGGTTAACTGCTGCGCGCTCAAAATTGACTCAAAATTCATCGGCATCGATTACAATCCAAGAAGATTATTTCTTTTTTATTCCAATTTTTTGATCACAATCAGTCAGTCAGTCAACAAAACAAAATAACAAGTATATAATCGAGTAGGAAAATTTTACAGTTTTATATAGTCTGGCCTCTAGTCAACTGTACATGTCAACAAACCGTTCCGAATCGCTTCGGAAGATACAAAAGATAATTTTCTACATTGACCCAACTGCGAATCAAATCCGGATATCAGAAATAGTAACACCTTGTCCTACTCAGCAACTTCACATGACAAATATTTAGGGTAAAAAATGTACATAGAAATCTCCTCAACAATATTATAAATTGTATTATAAGATAATATGCTATTATATACAAGAACTTTAATTAGTTGTTTTATTCCTTTCATAACTTGTTCAAAAACAATTTTTACTGAAACAATTTTTTTTTCATTTATTCTGTACTCTAACTTTACTCTGTGGTTGTACTATATTAAATTTTCATAGACAAGAGCTTATAGAATTGCACCCCACGCCGACCGAACACAGAACGAGACCGAATCGAATAACATGAGTGAGCAGCACTAACACGGAATGGTTTATAGTCTATGACATTTTGACATCAAGCTTCAGACACCGACGCGTCACCGTCGGATTTTATTTAATTTTGTAATCAAAAATTAGTGACAAAGAAAATTGTGATAAGTGTGAATTTTATACACATCTTGGTGATATTATTAGTGTTAAGATTTGTTATGTTATTGTTGCAAAGTGAAAAATAAATCGAGGTAAGGTGAATCCCGTGGTTGTATATGAAATTGTTTGGGATTTGTGGGATCGATAACCCGGTCGGCTAGCCATGAGGCGCGACGCTGAGGTTATGTCGCGTCTAGCGAACAAGTATCGGAGTTCAAGTAACGGTCCCGACAGCCAGAGCACACCGACTCGCATTACACCTCTGCAGAATCCGGTCGGACCTAGGACCAGTTAGTTTATAATAGCGTATAGAACCTCTTTTGCCGCCCTTATTCCGTTACGCTTGCAACAGTCCGTAACTGTTAATAAATATTCGGTAATCAGCTTCGCTTTTACAAAGGACGCGTGCCCATACCCTAAACCTTAGTACGCTCTATACCTATCGACATTCCTTTTGAGAAGTGCGCCTGTTTTCCAGCTTACCCTGCCTGCAGTGCGTGCCAAGAGCCCCAGAGTCCCAGCCATTAGATTGAGTGGAGTGCCCCCTGTGTCCACCCACACGTAGCCCCGTACGCAGCCAAAATTCCACGAGACACTACGGACACTTCCTCCAGCATGGACTTGGAGAAAGCTCCCAATCTTCATGAGGAAGACTCCAAAGTTACCCTCACTATCAGACTGATTATGCAGGGGAAGGTAAGAGAGAACACTTACTTTTCATTAATTTCTATCAATTTGTTGATATTAAACTTTCATACTAATTTCTGTTTTGTGAAAGTGAACACTTTACCTTCTTCTAAATCCTTTTCTCATGGTATGAAGTAGTTAAACATTACTATTCTTTTATGTATGAATTTAGATTAAAATTTAGTTTTTAGTTTTTCATATTCATTCAATTCCATTAAGAACTCTGCTCCTAGATACTAGTTAGGCTTTGTACTGAGATTTCTTTCATGTTTCAGACAGGCTATTAGAAAATAAAGAATCAACAAAAATAAAGATGTTACAATTAACTGATTATTAAGAAACTGCTATTATTGTAAAATATTATTTCCCTTACAAAATCTATTGTTTCCAGTACAAAAATAACCAACTATTTCTTCTTTAATGGTAGCTACTTTATGATTAAGCATATTAAAGTAACATAAACAATATATACTTTAGACTCATATACCTATTGCCTACTTACCCAATTCATGCTTTTCCTATTCATAGAAAACCTTATTTGCATGTCATTGTTTATGAAAGAGTTGTGTTTGTTTGAAAGTATGGTAATCTAATATGACTTTGGCATTTTAATCTTGTTAAAGAAATACACACTTGTATGGATGCACTATACAAGATCCTATTTGTTAATCATATAGGCATGCTTTGTGACTAGGCTTGTATTTAATACTATATATATTCCTACTAATCGCTTTTACTGATTGATATGATATTTAAATTAGGGAAATAATTTATCAAACAATAAAATAACATGGTATATGCTAGATGACATATGTATATCAAAAAGAATCATATAATACTGATTACGAAACAAAATTATACATTTTTCTTTTCATGTCGTAGTAGTAAATTGTGAAAATAAAATAGAAGTTTTTATCTCTTTAATAATTGGAATATTTGGAAAAGAAATGTTGCAATTCTATCTCATTTTCAAAATTTTGTTTTGTATACTAAATATGTGCAAAACAGATATCAATAATAATATTATGAAAAGGAAATATTAGATTGTTTTTGCATCATATTGGCTCTAAAACTACTGGACTGACCTTAAAAAAAATCACCTATGGGCATCTACATCATACAGGAGTCAAGTAGGCCATAAATTACATTGACAAAGCCTAAGAAAAACATCTAGTATTCATATGATATTGGATCACTGTAATTACCATGACTATAACTTTAGACATTTTATTTTTGTTACATTGCTTCACAGTAAAACTAATTTAGCACACCTAGATGCAGTTAGATTGCCATGACATGAGAGATGTACTGATATTAACATGCATCTATAATACTATCACATCTACATACTTTTAATTGGCTGTAATCCAATACAAAGTACATCTGGCAACTGGCCAAATATTGGCACTCTCCCTGTTCATCAATGTTGTCGATTTGTATCTTTTTCTAATTAAAGTGTCTTAAGTTTGAAACATTTTATTTTTACTAGTCTCTGTATCTACAAAAACAACAGAACTTTGAAGATAATTATTTTACCTGTCAATATATTTTAGTACATACTCTAAAGATTATTAACAAGTAATTTATTTAATTATAACTATTATTTTTGTTAAGTGCACTAAAACAAGGTCTGTTTCCAGATCACATACTTATTTAAAATATTTAATTTGAAATAAGTAGGTAATTATTATATAAATATATATATAATACTTAATCAAGCCACCTGGTGAACCTAATCTATGAATATGTAATATACTTAGGTATTTCATCTATTCTTATACTGTAATTCAAAAGAAAAGAAATAGATAACAACATAATTGACTAGCATACATTTGATTAATGTCTGAGACATTTCTCTGTGGCATTCATCAAAGTTCTTTGAACCTATGCTTTCATCACACAACTCTATTTATGTCGCCATATAGCGCATCGATGGCTACACGCAACAGCATTGTTCACATACTGCACAGGTCAACATGCCCTGTTGCCAGGAAAGAAACATACATTACAGTCACTCTAAAACTGTCTTGACGCAACCCCAATGCATCTTATGCTGCAAAGAATTGATGCAGTGCCTATTATTGGCCACTAGACAGGAAATCTTTTGTACTATAAATCTTAGCTCACAGTATTAATTATGTTTGCACTCATTACACAATGGTTGCCAATGTACCAGCGTTAGAAGATATTTTCAGAGTTCCTAATTAAATATAAGAGTTATTACAAGCAGATTGATTTATATCGAATGTTTTTCTTTTCTACTTTCAGGAAGTTGGCAGTATTATCGGAAAAAAAGGAGAAATTGTCAAGAGATTTAGGGAAGAGGTAAGTTTGGCAAGAGTAATGTCTCTATGCTTTTTAAATGTCTTCTTGTTCGATAGCAAAACTTCTAAGATATAATAAGAATAGCGTTACGTGAAATATAAAATATAACCAATATATATATATAAAGGATCTATTATTTTTATTTCAGTCTGGAGCCAAAATCAACATTTCAGATGGATCATGCCCAGAACGTATTGTCACTGTCACAGGAAACACAAGTGCTATTTTCAAAGCCTTCACACTCATATGCAAGAAATTTGAAGAGGTTAGTGCAATTTTTTTATTTAGTTTTTATGCAATAGGGTCGGTGCAAAGCCATCAAAATATACTTCAAGCATTCAAAGGAAGTATGCGAATCATTAGTTGAATGTACAAGGTCTAGTTTCCATAGCTATATATTCTCACCGTCAATTACTTGTTAACTTGACTTTATATTGGAAGAGGCCCTTCTTAAATAACATTTTCTCTTTTAAAGTACATGCCACTTAGAATATTAATATTACCATTGTTCATTTGAATCTTGTCTTTCGAATTTGAGAACTTGTGCCCAGTACTTCTGTCACTGATACTGACGGGAGTAGGACTTTTTGGAACTCAGATTTTTATGTATTTTATTTATTGGTTTCTTATATTTTTTTGAATGATTTCATTGAGTTTGTATTTAGTTTACCATGGAACCAGTAAAGGGTCCGAAACGTCAATAAAACAAAACACAAACGCTATGAAACTGTTTAAAAGTCGTTTCATTTATATTTGATTTAGTTTTTGAGATACCTGTATGTTCTATGCGATTTCCAGTGGTGTTCCCAGTTCAACGAGGGTGGCGGCGGCGGATCTCGTGCGCCTATCACTCTGCGTCTTATCGTACCAGCGTCGCAATGCGGCTCCCTCATCGGCAAAGGCGGCTCCAAGATCAAGGAGATCCGTGACGTCACTGGAGCCAACATACAGGTCAATCCCATGCAGTATATTCATCATCATTAATTCAGCCGAGAGACGCCCACTGCTGGGCATAGACCTCCCCAAAGATCTCCAAAGCGATCGGTCCTGAGCCTCCCGCATCCAGCGGCTTCGCCGTCATGGTCCTGCACTATACATATAAACCTTAATTCGATGTGTAATTTACTATAGGTGTCGTAGTGCCGTAAATTAGCCAGATATACTAATATTAAACTATGACTGGTTCTACACCAATGGCTTCGCCCTCATGGTCCCATACCTACTACGTACGATAAACCGTCTTGAATAACTCTATCTTTTGTTGAAAACAGCAAATAAAACCTGAAGTGTATCTTTAAAAGATCTCAGCAAGACAACGGGAAGCAACTTTGTTTTATATTCTGTATAGATAGATAGTAGGCGCTGTAGGCTTTAAGAGGACAAAGAAAAATTAGGGACGTTGTGTAGAGGCTTAAGGGACGATTTCTAATTTCATCTAGTACTCTTCTACACCGACAGAGCTCTCGACTACAACTTGTAAAAATCAATTATTATATTAATTAAGAGATTTCACTAACTAATAAAAACTGTCCATTATTTATCTCCGTGTAGTTTATATAGGTGAAAAAATTGGGGTGATAAAAAATAATTATTTTCACAGCGGGCAATAGACGAAATAAGTTTGGAAAACCCTTGGTCTATGAGTATTACAGGTCATCAGAGCTTTAACACGGGGAATGTAGGCAGGTGTAATAACAACTCCAATATCACTGATTTAGTTGCAAAAAAGTACATTTACATTCACATACTTTTGTATAAAAAGCGTATTAGTCTGACATTTAACAAATGTTATCTGCCTTCTCACATTACATTGTCATTTATTATTAACTAATTTCTATATAACTCTTTTAGTTTTGGACAGATGTTCTACTAAACGACCTTAACTTTAATGTCATATTATATTAATATAAATTAATAATAATTATTGTTTACAGGTGGCAAGTGAAATGTTGCCAAACTCCACCGAAAGGGCGGTGACGATCAGCGGCACATGTGACGCTATCACACAATGCATTTATCACATTTGCTGTGTCATGTTAGAGGTGAGTGATAAAATATAAATATCAAAAATACAAACGTTTTATTTATGAAACTCGCACTTCGCTGGACTGCAAAGCTAAAAAATAAAGAAAGCAGTAGGCCAATACTTCAAATGTTTACGTAATTTTTCGGACGATTCAAAAGTGCTTGAAATAAGCTTATTTGAATAAAGGTATTATTATTTCATTAGCAAAATAAGGCCAACTGGTCTGAATGTGGCTTTGAACATGATGAACATTGTATAGCAACTGATATTGTCCCGTTTACAATTTTCTGCCCTACACTTAGGCATGTCCTCATGTATATTTTTGCAAGAATTTGTATATAACTTTATTATTGAAATTATAATGCAATAAAATCAATGAAATCTGAAATGTAAACATTATGCATCATCAAATATATTACTTAGAAGTACTACAACTCGAACTTAAAACATTCTTTCAATTTGACAATACGCGTGAACCATATATCTGGACATAAAGTAATATATAACTCGTTGCATATTTATATTGTTAGGTTTACCACCCTACTCGATTGGCTTCCATTTGATTGGGATCGGGTTAAATCAAATGCACCTGCAGTTAGGAGCATTGAGTTGCTACAGCATAAACACGTTAGGTTGTAGGCTGATAACGATTTCTTGAATTATTATACACAAGTTATCTGCTAACACTAATTATATTGCATGTCATGTGCATTTAAGCTGATGCTAAACAAATCGAAGCCAAGGTACTCACAAGGGTAGGCTCCAGCAACTCTATATTACAGTAATTTCACAGACCAATCAAATTGGCAAACTTCTGACATAATGACTGTCTTTTAAATTGTTTTTTTATTATTTTTTTTGTAGAGTCCACCTAAAGGAGCGACTATTCCGTACAGACCGAAGCCCAATGTCGCAGGGCCCGTGATATTAGCAGGTGGTCAAGCTTACACTATACAAGGAAACTATGCGGTACCGGCTCAAGATGTAAGTTTACAGTTCATTATCATTAACTTCATCTATAAAGATCGTAAAAATATAAATGCTGGTTGTAAAGTCTAAAAAATACTTGGTATTCAACATATTTTTGCTATTGTCTATAATAACTCTAATTTTCAAACAAGAGAACTTGTGATATGTTTCTAATAGCAACCTAAATCAATTCTAAAATATAACTTATACAATTATTATTTTTCCATCAACACAGTTTTTATCTTATTAAAAAATCTTCATTTGAGCCAAATTGAGCACAGGTGAAGTAACAAATTTAACTAAATAAAGTTTTACAAAGTTAAAATACAAATATTTGCATTTATAATTTATTATATCTTAAAAAAAACTGTATATTTAACTCATATTTAAATAATGTTAGCGACAGTCAGACTATGATAATGATAATTCAAACAAGTTGCTTTTGAATTTATAATAGTCCGAACACGTGTGCATGTTTCAATAAACACATGGGATTTCCTGTTAATGAAACTGTGAACATCTGGCTTTAATCGTATTTTTATTTGCGTGCTCATATACAGACAGTGTTTCGCATCGTCATGTCTTGATAAATAATCTACGCCAGCAATAAATTACATATTAAATATAACAGCTTTAATATGTTGCATACAATTATGGGTGTTTCATAAATCAATGAGACATTTGAAATTACTTTCAGCTACTCTTATTATATCGACCTATTACTATATTTTTTGTGTTAGTTCTAATTTATATGTTACTATCAGTGAATTTGTGTAGCTATACTTGAATGAGTATTTTAAACTTTTGGTGAAATTTCACTTAGAGCTTATTACTAGTGATTTTCCGGATATCCGTATCCGCGGATATACATTTTTAACAATCCGGTACATCACTACTTATTACAACTAGTGATTTTTCTCCCAGTAATATCTTCGATCCAAAAAAATGAATATTTAATATGATATTTAAAATAAATAATTATTGACTGACTAAAACATCCACTTTCTCGAACAATGGCGCACGAATTAAACAAAATATTTTAAAACTTTGGTAATTGGCTATATCCAGTATTGTCTAGCGTGATTGATCAAGGATGTGAATATTACTATCTAGACAAACTTTCGCTTTTTGTGTGCCGCTGCTCATAATGCTACGTACCGTAATAGACCTATGCACCCAGCTCAAAAGCGATTGAGACAACTCGCCGTTTGATTTGATGAGATCATTTTTAGGATCCTCAATAATAGTAATCTGTTTATTCAGTTTACTTTTACACGTTGTCGATAATCGGCAACTGCATTGTGCCTTAAAGATCATACATAATTTTAAAATAATTAAACTCAAAATATGTTCGTGGATTGGAAGGTTTCGGCGTACACGATGCGTTGTCACCATCCGAGCGAACACGTAAAGCTTGATTCAGATCTATCAACACGTTTCGCGTCCATTCGTAATCTGGTAGGCGCGGCACACAGTATGAACATGCGCCTTCAGATAAATGAGAGAGTGAGGGGATCTTGTAACTCGCAACTCTATACTCGATTGTTAACTATTAAATTTGTTACAAAACAGTTCCGTAGGGACCGCGCAGGCCATTGACGGAAAGCTAGTATATATGACTTCACGCGGAGATAGCTATAATATAGTGTAGGTTTCATATCATATTAATTTTATTAAATTAAGTGGCGGTAACATGATATGAATGTTATAATATTATAATTTCACTAGGCAAGGTCTAATGCGGTGACGCAGTGTATGTGCGGCGGCACTGGTTAGGTTAAGTTAGGTTAGGATTGGGTAGAGACGGGTGAGGTTATCGGTCAGTACGTAGAGGGTATGCGTGCGGCAGGCGGTGTGCGCGCCCGTGTTCCCCCTGCTGGAGGTGAAGCCGCCCCTCGTGGGCGCGCTGCCCCCCCACCACCTGTTGCCGCCGCCGCTCCACGAACACCACCTCGTGAGTGACACACATGCGACCTCATAGGATACGACCCCCCTCCACCCATTACCCTCTGACCCCCGCTGAGACCCCACGTTCTGCCCCGCCCGTGCGCCTTTTTCGAGACCGTTCGATAAGAGTGATCAGCATATGACTATGAAGTAAATTTATAGATCAATCTGACCGATAGCTGTATTCTATATCTTAAATACACTAAGGAAATATTTCTAGAAAAAAAATTGAATTACCATTTCTGTTAATAAAGTATAAGATTTAAGAGAGAACAAAATGTAAGAAACGAAATATAAAACAGATTTTCGATCACCAAGGATTAGGAGATTAAATAAATGGGAACCTCCTAACTTTTGTTGTGATGTTCGATTGATTTATGTATTTCGATATTTTATATTATTATTTTCGATAAATAACGCACTCGCAAAGCTATATTGATATTTATTTTATAATAAAATATCGGCCATCTCAAATGCCGCGGTGAGATTAGAACCTAATCCAGACGACACTTCTTACCAAGCAAACTACCAAAGACTTAAGCAATATAAACCTTTTTGAGCTCTAATCTTTTTCCTCAGTAAGTATTTGGATAATTGAAAAGATTTTATTAATACAGTACTTTATTCTTACTACTTATTTTCATATCCACTTACATATTACACAATATTTTAGATATAAAATGAAAATTTCTATAACAGGTACTTATTAAATGTCTATAATATTACACTTATCAATGAACGGTCTCTTAATCCAAATATCTCAATTTTAGTGCAATAAATAATAATGGCATAATCAATATCCCTTGTATCAGTACAATATTATGGTCTCTTCTTAATGTAGAAATGTTTATGTCCACTCTAATATCCAATGCATCGACTATTTCGCAGCGTAAGTGAACACCCCGTAGTTAATTTAGTCTATAGAATGTTATTCTCGAATATTTTCTCTCTTCCATCTCTTGTAACTAAAGGGTGCTAAATATTATACCTGTGAATATATTTGATTTCCATATCCACCTTATTTTTAATAAATTTTCTCTATGAGGTTGTGTTGTACATTATGTGATTGGTGCTGCCCCGAATTCCCATCAACTTGGTTTGGATTTGTGGTGTCGATTCCCTTTTTGTAGCGGCTATGAATTTTATTAACATTTTTTTTATTATTCGACTTCCCATTTAGTATAGTCCCCGGTGCTGTGGAGTGTAGGAATGGATTACGTTTATTTTCTCTCTTTTTTATTCTCCTTCGCTTGAAACTCATTAATATTCTTTCTTAATTGCACGTAAACCCCCTAATGGTAGTTTTACTCTATCAATTCTATCATAAATATATGTTTGCACTTTAGCGATTGTATTTCATTTTGATTTTGTAAAATATAATATATCGTAGACGAAAATATGTGTAAAGTGAGAAACACATACAAAGCTTTATCTGTTTGTTTTCTGGCATTGCTGACATCGAGCATTTTCTTCAGTTGTACTTACTTCGCGAAATGTTCACGCACATACAAAATTAATTATGTAAATCCTGTACTTGCACCTTTCCTTATTTTGCCTATGCCTTGTCTCTTCCGACGATTTTATTTGTATATCACTATTAATATTCAGATTAACCATGGAAGCATGGCTTAACGTGGAAAATATAACGATCGATTAGTTTAAATAAATAAAGATAAAAGGTGCATAAATATTGTTTGGGCAGCACCATTCAAGAGCTCACGAAGTGGTATTTTTACTTAATACGAAGAACGTCTTAAGAATATACGCATGGCTCTGCTCGCATTTTCTTCCAGAAACTATTGTCATTTCATTAATCGTTGCAAGTAGAGCTTTTGCGAATTTCTTAAGTTTGGAATTAATTATTCTTTCCACCCAGGTTACCCTATCCAGCGATCCTCTCCCAGCCATGTCAGAGAAGATGAAAACAAGCAGCTGGAGCTTTTATTTGAATGTTATATTGAATATAAATTTGAATTTGTATGAGTTATAATTACACTAAAGAATTGCTTCTTAACTTAACTTCCAAGTTGTTTTTTATTTTAGATGGGAGGTTTAGCTAAGTCCCCATTGGCCGGTCTGGCCGCCTTAGGGCTTGGCAGTTTGGGCCCAGCGAATACTGGTGGACTAAACCCTGCAGGTAACAAACACTAAAAATCCATATAAAATAATAGATTACAAAAACCTAACTACGTAGGTATCGATAATGATATTAATTGTATCTGGTAATAAAACTTATTTTTACTTTGTGATAAAGCAGCTCTGGCAGCCCTGGCAGGGTCGCAACTGCGTACGTCGAACCAATCGCGCAACCAGCCCACTTCCAATCAACAATCTCATGAAATGACAGTGCCCAACGAACTCATCGGCTGCATCATTGGAAAGGTCAGTTTACGGAGTTGCTTTGAAAGTATAATACATTTGCACTGTAATATGAGCTTTATTCAAAATGAGCATAATCACTAAACTTATCTAGAAACAGGTATACAAATAAAACTTCCTTGCATAATAATACTAATTTTAATGTTTTTTTTAGAAACTTTTAGTTATATGTTGACTATTTACTGTAACTACAAAAATATTCCGTTACAAAAAATTAAAGATTACATATAGATTAACAAGTGAACCGGTTGCCGGTTATATCAATTCCAATGTCTACTTTTTAATTTCCCGAAAGACGTTTTGCTTTTGGTTACAAAAAAAAATGTATCGATAAACGTCACTTTATTGTGACCAGGGTGGTACTAAGATCGCTGAAATCCGCCAAATATCCGGCGCCATGATCCGGATATCCAACTGTGAGGAGAGGGAGGGCGGCAGCACGGACCGCACTATCACAATCTCAGGCAATCCCGACTCCGTAGCACTCGCGCAGTATCTCATCAACATGAGGTAAGCCACTTCTATGACAGAGCAGCGGTCATCCCGTCTTCCTAAAGTCCGACGGAGAATTATTTTGCCCGTTCTTGTCCATTTTATGTCATGCCTCCACCTCAGTAACGGATTTATTTGATATCCCTGGAACTTTCCTATGATTTGTCTTCACCTTTCTGGGCTGTTTCGAAGACTCGTTCGCGAAAAAAATTAAATATATATTATGATCTGAGACGTTCGTTCGTATGTTCGGCGCGCCTGCTATGAATCTAAATATTATTGTCATCCTTAGCAAAGAAAATTGTCATAAAATTGTCTTATTTTCTTAAATAATAGAATTGCCGTAATGGTAGTTTGCTATATTCGTCGAAACTATTAATTAGTAACTTCGCGCTTCATATCGTATCACCGTGTTTATTTAATATTCGTAGTCTACACTAGATGAAAGACGGAGCTATAATTAAATCCTAACGCAGTCTTGCGAGCATATTATGCTCTAAACAAATTTAAGCAGCAAACATTCAATGTTATTATTAGACAAGTAATTCTTAACTAAAAGTTATTTTATCGGTTGTGTACAGTGAATTAAGATTAAATATTGTAGTATCGATATAAATTAGTAGTGTAAAAGAAAAAAAATAACATTTTAATTACGATGATATATTGGAGTATAAGTAATATTGTTCATAGAAAAATATCTTGTATTTTGTGTTGAGAGTGACACATTATTATTCTCTAATTATTATAAAAACAGTAACAAATAAATACAAATAACTAATAATTTGAATCAGGATGTTTCTTCTGAAACTGAAACCTCACTAATAAGTAAATACACTATAAAACTATAGACGTAAAAATATCGAATAAAAACTATTTAACATCCAAAACGATTTTGTTTATTCACCAAGTACTTACTCGATACGTACAGCGAACGTTTTAGATCGGCACGGTAAACAATCGTACGCAACACGTACTACACAGTCACTTCGAAGCCGGCCAATTGTACGCCAACCTCACAAGTATCCTGTCCCGCTCCGGCAGTGTGGAGCTACAGAAGGCGAACCTGGAGGGTAGCACGTCCGGCGGGGCGGGCGGCTCGTCCACCGCCAGTCCCCTCGCGTCCGCCATCCCCCTCGCGCAGCTCCTCAGCAAGTCCGGCGCCCTCGGGGCCCTCAGCTCGCTGTCCGCCCTCGGCGGTCTCACTGACCTGCTGAGCGGGTCCGGGGCCCAGCCCGTGCAGACCACAGGCGTACACAGGAACCACAAGTCCTTCAATCGCCGTCAAGACGACGACACCCCCTCTAAATCATCCAAAGAACGCAACAAATACAATCCTTACTAGGTCGGTTCGCGTTCGTCGGGTCTGTCTCGTTTCGCGTCGCTAATTTTCTGGTTTACTTATAGGTTTTAAGCGGACGAACATAGTGGATCTGCGCTCGATTCGATACGATCGCGTAAGGTAATAGGGATGACGACTGGATACAAAAAAAAAAAAGAAAGATATAGACATATTTTTTTGCTTCAATATAAACAGGTATTATGCATTAAAATTGAGGGATGCGGGCACGCTACGTCACAGTTTGGTAGAAAAAGCGTGACGTCATTTCCACTCAATCTATCGGCGTAATTTATTGTTTGCGCAAAAAAATGTGTTTAATATTCTTCAATAACAACCTGACGGACAAACAAACAAAAATTTGTCATCATTCCTATTACTTATTTGTCTAAATACTGAATGATTAATGGAAAAGAATACAAAAAGGAATGTCTCGTTTTCGACTTATTAACCAACGGATTATAATACTTTCTATTATGTTCGTCTGCAGTTAGTCTATGACTTGGACTGATCGAACCAAAAAGTTTTGAACTATAGTCATAACGTTTCCGCTCGGCTGTATTACGCGTATCGTTCTCTTATTAATCAAGCTGTCGATTTTATTTAATAAAAGGATTATATTTATTTGTGACTATCATAAAAAAAAGAAATCATTTAACGCAGGAGTATAATTTTTATGTCTGAAATCATGTAATTTAAGGTCATTTTATTGTTTAAGTAAAATATATCGTATATTTTTCGCACTTATCGTAAATACTGACAGTAAAATGCCATAATACAGTGCTTATTATTCTATATGGATTTATTAAAAAGGTGAACTTCAATTTATTATAACTGCATTTATTAATAACTAAAATAGCTTCAAATCAAATCAACTTCAACGACTATAATAAATATCAAAATATATATATTTGTGAATTGGAAATGCGAAGCCAGTTAAAAATAGTTTAAATCTAGTTTGACCGACTTTTATTTGTCAATATAAAAAAAATTCAGTCTTCCTTGACGATAAATAAGTCGTTAATGAATAGGACAAAAAATTACACAGTTTATCAATCACAGCGACGGACAGAAAAAACGAATATAATCAACTAATGTAAAATAACAAAAAGTAATAATAGGATATGGTAACTAGGGATCGTGACAATAGTAGGAGATACGTAGAAGCTTAATTGCTGTAGATTAATACAGATTGCTTCGCGTTTAAAATTGGCCAGAGAGTGATTGTGCCGATCACATATAGATTATAGAATAAAGCATGATTTTATATAGTACGTATAGTGCGGTCTACATGAAAAAGAATAACATTTCTGGCAGTTCAAATCGCCAATACTACATATGAAATTCTTTGGGTGGTTGCACTTGACGCACACTATAAAAGGGTTCAAATCGATTTTATGGCGTATAAAAAATCAATTACACGTTCATAGTCATATGAACTTAGATGATTAATATATATTTCAAATGAAATATATATTTATATTTTTTTAAAACGAACACTGTTAATTGATTTTATGATAAAAATGGAGCAGTATAGATTAGTTGGTATCAGTGTTACAATGTGGCAAAATTTTTAAATGTTAACATAATCCATCTGTCGTCTAAAGTTGTTTTAGCTGTATATGCAAATCGGCACATATTTTTATTGTATAAAATGTAAGATTAAAATACAGGGTGACTAGGAGAAACATCAAGCTATACTTCAAGCCAGTAGATACTGTAGAAAAGCTTAACTTATTTAGGTTAGACGAATTAGCCTACAACTGAGAAGTATATGAATATGTTAAACATTATAAACAAAAATGATAGTTTTGATGAAGTATTGTTTGATGTCTACGAATTACTCTGTATATGTTTTAAAAGAGGAATTATTATAATCTCATTTTAAGAGATCTTGAAGTGTTATGAAATAGCCTTTGAATATTAATTTTTCACTTTACGGGGTAAACGTTTGACGGTTTAATGATTCATAAAATTATTTGAGACGTGCAAAAATGTTATTAAAAACCATCTACCACTAATAGATACATGACAATATATAAATTAATTTACTATTGATAATATGTGTCAACGAGCAGTTACTAATATGATGAGAGTTCTAAATGATACAATGTGAATGATGATGAGATCGTAATCGTTTTTAAAGACGCAACAGAACTTGTGAATGAGTAATTGTTATGTAAATAAATTATTATTAAAAATAAAACTATTTTTTATTTTAGTTTTACTGAAGATTTTTCTTCAGAATTAGTATTTTGAGTCTGAAACGGCGCTACTTTATCGGTCGTACGCGATATTCGATCTTAAAAAGTTAGATGGCCAGTATTGAATTATGACGTCATATAATTTTGTAATATATATTGTTAAATATTATTCAGCTTTGATAATTTCGTGAATTCGATTGTATAGAACTCTTCTAATGCCGTGCACTATAATATATGTTGTCATATTTGTGGGTAGTATCTAACACTTCAAGCGCGGACATATTAATATCAACGTTTGTTATTTATCAGGGAATCCGTTATCAAAAAGAATAAGTTTGTGAGATCTATCGCTACGTAATTTATATGATGAATTATGACGCATAGTCTGACGCATTTGAAGTAATGGTCACTATTAACGTTAATGCAAGGGGTAATCGACCTTGTTTGTTTCATGACGCTCAATGAACCAATAGTAAGTGGTGGTCGTTTCCTAATTTTTTTACTTGTACATTTGATACGGTTGGGCTTGGAAGAGCGAGATGGCGTAATTTCGTATCTATTGTTTGTATTATGAATCTAATCATTAGTTATTTTCCGAAACAACCATTCTACAGTTTACACGTGTGTCGTGGTAGATGTTTTTAAATACATATACCCTTTTCCAATATTTCTTGTTCTTGCATTGGTAAATATTTCATAAAATCAATTTTATTTTATGGTGCAAAGGTAAAAAAAAACCTTTTTAAATAGGTATCCAAACATTTTACCTTTTCTTCTACAATTCACCTTTTATAGTAAAAAAATAATAATAAGTTTTGGCATATGGACAGTCTAACGTCATTAAACTTTGTAATATATTTTATTTCACTACCATTTGAACATTCTCACACAATTAGTTGATTGTTAATTTAAAAATAATAATCTGAATTAGATTTATCGTATTTAGAAGTAGTTTAATATATTTTGTATTTGAATGATGATAAGTAAAGGGTAAACTACATTATTATATAAAAACAATAATGTCGCGTAAATTTTCACGTAAATTTACTAGTCCGAATTCTTAAGAGAGATTAGGAGACATTTATTGTATATTTAGTTTCTAAATAAGACTATCAGTGTCATACTTGTGATATAATAATGTGTTTCCCTCGTGGTATGTTTGTTAATATAAATTAGTGTGAATTTAAATCGAGGTCCAATTCGAGTGTTTCTAACTAGTAGTTTCATGGGGACAAATTGTTTGGCTTCAAATTTCCTTTTATTTGTAAAAAAAAAAATCATGTTAATTTTAAGTAAAATAGGTGTTTTTCTTATAATTTCAGGTTTATATTACTCGCTAGAATCTTTAAGTAAAAGTGTATTGTTTTTAAGTACATAATGAAATAAAATAATAATTGCAAACCCATCGATTTTCATTAATATCTCAATGTTCAACTTTTTTTTATAATTCATTACTGTTAAGTTTTGTACTTAAGTAAATACTTAATGATATTATAATTTATGTACAGCTTATCTCTTAACATGAATGAATTATAATTTCCTTGTACTGTCACCGTCATAATGTTCGAATTAATAAGATGTGAACTCCTGTTTCATTATATCTTGGCACACAAAGTGGTCAAAAAATATTGTGATCATTACTTGAAATTCGTCTACTAACAACTTGTTTCCTATCTATGACACTCGATACCAGTCGAATAGTTTTGTACAGTTTGGTTGTCTAGACAAAATTTCTTTTGTGCTTAGCATCTTTTTTAACGCCTTCGCTTCGATGATTATGACGCTGACTGTACACATGAATATACACATATTGTACTAAATAATTATTGGGCTAAATTTGTGTAGCATATTCGGTTCGCCATACAAAGATTCCTTACAAGAATCCACGCCATTATCCTGCCTACCTAGGCACCAAATATTCCCGTGTTACCTGATGCCGGACCAAATCCATCGAGTACCTACATCCTACAGGTCACTGGATCACCCAATTTCCTGGTAAGATGTTTCCTTTACATTTTATTTTGTATCCTAGAATATCCACACTTCATTACCTAACGAGATAAATTGACGCTTTCTATTCAACGTGAAGATCTTACACTAGTTTGAAATTTCATGTATCATTGTAGTTTGATTGTAAATAAAAATTTCCATTGAAATGTTACAGGATCACAATGGAGACTGCCGGTATGCCGTTGCCTGGCTACCACTACATCGCTCCTAACCACATCGTGAAGGCACCGATCCATTGAATGGGGCTCCGCGGCCAGAATTCCAGCGTTGCTTTCAAAACTTACAATGAAAGAGCGTATTATATGCAGCCGCAATACGGAAATCTGGCTCCGATATATTTCTTCAAGTAAATAGAAAGACCAAACAATCTTTAGGACGAGAAGGGAAGCAAATCACTTGATATCGTGCTGAACGTATGTTTACATTTGTTACAACAAGTTTATAAGTATTTTAGATATTCTTATATTTATTCTCCACTGTATTTAATTGATTGGAATAAGAATACGGAAATTGGATAAGGTAAGATATTTCGGAGACATAATGGCGAAGATTTATAACGACTGACGATTTAAAAAAATGTCTGCTGATCAGTGGGCGGTGAACGAGAATCGAAACACAAATATTGTTTTGAAAAGTCTATGATTAAATGTAATATTTTATTTCGTTCACCGTTCATGGATTTATAAATTTATAAATAACAAAGTATGCAACAGGTGTTAGCTAAGCTGATCGAATTTACTATGGATTTAAGCGGTCGAGTTATTCAATTATCTATTGGATTTGTTTTCCTTAATGATCAGTGACGACCAGACATAAAATGTTCAAAGTAAGATAAAACGAGAGTCTGCATAATAGGTAGGTGTAGATGCGTTACAATCGACCTCGAAGCCGCTGACGTAGCGTAGTATTAGATTAGCGAACAGAGTGAGAGGGTTAAAGACAATATTTGTAAATAAAATAATAACCTGGAAGAAATTAGGTATTACAGTAATAGTTACGCCGCCGGGCGACGCGCGACGTGACGATACGAAACCGATGGGAACAAATCCTTAGAAAATTACATTAAAAGCGAAAGAGAACATTGCAGTATATCATATACAATCGTCTATGATCACAAAAAGACGTTAGGTGTA